CCAACTTTGCTATGGCTATCCGGTTGTGATGGCCGACAATGCGTTGGCTGGCACCCTCTCCCATCTTTAGTCTTCTGTACTTTGTCTCGACACATAGCTCAGGTGGGGGTTCGCGGAGAGATGGGTAGATGCCGTGCCAGTCTATTCTCACGTTAACCCAGCTTCCCCGTATCATCCTGCTGCGGATCAAACAGTGGACCTCGTCGGAATCGACGGTCAAACTTTCACCCAATACGTGAAGAGAAAACCTTATATATACGATCACTTTACCTCAGGAAATTATAATGAAATAATCAACAACTATTCCTCTTTAACGTCAATGCTTTCCTGGAAAGCGTGACCCGGATCAAAAGGAATTATTCAATTTTGTTAAGCTGAAGTGAGGTTTTAATCGTAATGGCCGCCGACAGCACACGTTTTTCTTTATTTCATTATCCAGTCACAAAACATTTTTCGCATCCGTAGCTGTCCTCCGTTATATGATCCAACAGTTCGGTTTGTGAGCGACATGAATGGGGTTTGTCGAATTTTTTAAATTCTCCAACGAACGCCTGCGACATGACTTCTCTAATTTTTGTTTGATTTATTATGACGAAGACAGGGGAGGAAAATAAAACTAGTTAACTACAGACGTTTCTAGAAATATCAGCGTAAAGAAAAAATATGATAATGCAGTAACCAAAAACGTAGGAGACCCAAGATTTTACATAATAGGCGCATACAGGCAACGTAAATAGTATGACAATACGTAGGATTTTTAGCATGCAAGCAGGAAAAACGATAATATCACATACATCGTACAGCTTCACTAAATACTGTAGAACATTCTTTGCTTTTTTATACCAGTATACACGGGTTAAACAGCATGTTTTTTGCGACACATATTAAAATCTCGGGAAGTACGTGAGGAATGTTAAACCCTAACCCTTGTTATGTTACAAACCAGACACCCCCTAACGGTGTACAAGTACATTTAGTCTTAAGGTATTTTTTAATCAAAAAGTTCTCTACGTAATGTTCGTGGTTAAGACGGTAAAAATAAACAATCTACAGAGTTGCATGTTGCAATAACCCAGCAGAAGTTGTTCAAAATTCCTGTGTGCCGGATGCTACTAAATTCTTTGTTTTTCCAGTTCCATTTCTACTAATGTGGACCTGCAGTTAATGTTCGCCTGTTTTGTTGTTTTCTAACCTTCCATTGGCTTTTGAAGTAATGCGTATTTTTCTTTCGTTCCATGCGTGTCGCTCATTCAACTTGTCGTTTCGCACGTTACTTCCCTCTATTATAATTACACAGATTCCCGTTATGTAATTCTGAACCTGGTTTAGGCTTTGATTCTGGTTAGCCCTTCTCCTTATGTTATCGATCCGGAACTCCTATATTTGCGAACAGGAAAATTTTTCTCTGTTTTGCTGTAATCTCTTAATACATTTTGCGACAGTAAGATCCAGAATTTTCCACTTACTTCAATACACATTTCATTTTTGTCTTATTAATCCATACAACTGTCGTATTCTCAAATTTTGCTTGCTTGTTTTACTCTTTCAGAGATGACAACACAATTTACCGAAACGCGCTAAGGATAATTGACACCTTTTGTTTTCGGGGATGCAAGCAGAAATATTTATTAAAGATAAAAGATTGGCAGATTGCATTAACCAGATAATAAGTACAATTCGCTTTTTTATATAATTTCTGAAGGTGAGTCGAACGGATCTCGGTTTGATGCGAAGCCGGATGATTTCGAGAAATTGGTATTTAGCTATTCTAATGGTTTTATTTTGTTATTTAGCCAAAGAACTTACAGTGAGCTGAAAATTGACAAATTTTCATTACGTTATTTGAAAAGGCCACACTCAATACGCTTCGAAGATTGCACAAATTCAAACCAAGATTCGATTAATTGTCCCGAAAATATTCAAAGCTTTCGGAGCGGAGTTAACCGCCAGCCATCGAATACCATGCCCGGGAATTTTTCCTACGACCCCTCCAACAACTCAGTATGGCCTACCCCCTTTGAAAAGGAATCTTCCGGTCAAAGAAGTTTTGTAAGTCACTTCACCCTTCCATGATTTTTCCTAAAAAATAAGATCTTGAATTAAAATTTGATAAAATTGGCTATTTTCGGGGTACTTTATTAGTTACCAAATCGAAGAATATCGTTCCAGTTTATATTCATTTCACAAATAGGTCGGCTATGATTACACATCTTCCGCTCGAATATCCGTCATGTTTTAAACATTTACTACGAGCCTTTTATCCTGCAACAATATCTATTTTGTCTGTTATGATGACAAAGAAAAAATTGGGGACATACTTTTTAACCAACTAGTTTCTGACGTTTTTGCCTAGCAGAAAGCTGTATGGTTTAACTTTTTAAACTGATTTTCGATTGAAATGGGGTTGCTGAATGCATCTCCGAACGGAGTACAGTAAATTATTAAATACCCGCAGTAGGGATGAAATTTCTTTAACAATGAAGGGACGATTGAATAGTGCTTGACTTATGTTAAGATTTCGGAATCGGGGCATGGTATTTAGTAGATTGTTGAAAGGCTTTCGATCATGAATTAAACAAAAAAGGAATTATTATGAAGTTTGAGCTTCTTTTTAAGAACAACCCAATTGATGTATTCTATTCTGCAGTCTACAACGAACACCTGACTTTCATAAAATTATCAGAAGTAAAATCAGGCCTGAGATGGCCTTAATAGTTTATCAGAAATACCTTCCGGGGTCAAATATCAGGAATAGAAGTTGACCGAATTATCGATAGACTATTTACTTTTTATTTGTTTTTCAAATACTGTATCAACATTTTGTACCATCCACTCACTTTGACAAAATATTTCGAGAATTATTAAATTAAACATATTGTTAAATACAAAACACTATGGCAATCAGCCACTTACACGCTCTTATATATATGCGCCCCACAGGTTTTGCAAGAGGACATTATCAACGTAATTGATTCTCTCCGAGCGGAACTTATAGCTGCGAGAAAAAAATCAGAAGCTTTGGAATTGGAGAAGAAACAAAGAAGTAGGGAAAACGAAAATGAAATTCTTGAGCTGGAGAGTTCTCTTAATTCGTTAATTCAAGCTACCCGTACCAAAGACAGAGTAAGTTGCCTTGGTATAAGTGCGATATATACAGGAATGTCGATTTTCACTTATGATAAGCTCTAGAGAAAAAAAGCAGCAAGTATACTTGTTTTTATTTATATACCTTACAAAATAAGTTCAGTTAGGAAACCTGAGTACTTATTCAAATTTTTCCTTCATGCAAGATAGTTTTGAGGGCTGACTAATAAGCAGTGCATCCATCCAATAAAATCAAAACGTAGGGTTTTTGTTTGCTGGGTGTGTCTGCAGGTATTCGATACCACATGTGATCATTAAAACATTTAATACTTTCTAAGGGACACTAAATTACTTAATTATTTGCTTGTTCCATTTTGAAATATCTTCTACGGTTTATATTTTGGCCAACAAATATAGTTTAAGCGCATAGAAAATTCAGAAACCTAATGCAATAGAAAAATTGTTAGTCACAAATGCATAAATTTTCCCGAAAAAGATGTAAATTGATCTTTTAAGCGTTTTCTGCTCCAATTCTTTCGTTATTGTTTTTCGAAATGCATTTAGGCATACAGCGCTGTGCCTTACGCGACTGCCGAGACTGCGCATCATTATGGAGATAATTGCGCGCGCCAGTCAAACAGGGTCACTGAGGACATTCGAGAAGCATTTTTAGAAAAGCCGACGTCTGGGTAACTTTTAGAATTTGGAAATTCATAAAGCGGGCATATACTTACTTTTTAAATATTTATTTGTTAAGGTATGAGTATGCACGTATTGCGGATTGGTATTCACGTACTTTTTAACTGAGTTCAGGATTACAATACTGACTTCTGACCAGATTTCTTAGGTTTACTACATATCGGAGAAGTTCTCACATCTTTAGTGTTTTACGTAAGATGTTTCAACGTCTCTGTAAACTTTTTAAATTTTTCCCTTCCATTTTTTTTATTGTGAGAGGTTATCTCTTAAATCTGTTGAATCATGGAGGCGAAAGAGAATAAAGTCTTAAAAAGAAATTGAAAAGTGTCCAATTTAAGCCTTTCGCACCAGAGGAAACATTCTAAACTAAATTTTATGTTTTTACTTGACGGTTGAAGCAGAAAACAGAAGCTTTGGTTTATATACTGAAATTCGAAACCTATAAATCGGAAAAATCAGGTTGTAACTACACTCCATATATACGTACACTCACTTTCATTTATTATTAGTTTGTCACAAGTTATCTTCTAACTTCAATAACATACTGTATAATTAATGTGACAAAATTGACTGGCTTAGAACAGCACCGTTTGCAAAGGTGAGTTTGTCAAAGGCTCCCTGACTTAAGCGTATGCCTGGGTAAAGTTTCCTTTCCCCCTAGTCTTTACGATATGCTTGATTAGTTTTAAGTTATATATATTCTTCCTTAGAAACGTCAAACCAACATATGTGATGGAAAACCCCGAGGCCACAGAAGAGCAACCGCTTGAAATTGTTTTCCAGCATTCGGACCTTCCTGAAAAGTTCCGGTATCGAAACAACCAAAAACAGGATTATTTGGCAGAATTGGGTGAACACTTAGCAGAAGCTGATAAAAAGGCTGCGGTGAGCAAACAGTGTAATTCCTTTACCACCCAATTAAACTCCTCTTCTTTCTTCTCCATGAAGCACCTGGATAAAAATTAAAAATAATACATCGAAAAGGCCGCTTTTACTCAACCCTACTCTAGGAATTCCATTTAACATGTTTTTCATCAACTGTACAAACTGTTTTGTAGAAGTATGTTTTGGTGCGGTGGGGAATGTTTACTTGAAGTCAGATGCGTAAGACATATAAAGGCGGTCTATGCAGGATTGTCGGTTGCTTTGCCTCTCCCAGCAGTTGTGAAGTACGTTTCACATATAAATTAAGCAAACCGACGCCTTTTAAGGAAGTGAGTATGTTTATTGTCAATAACCGCTGCTTTTTATTATTGGTTCTCTCGTGACTGATAGGGAAAATGAATTTGCCTACTAACTATGCAACTACAAACTCCGTCTTTATTTTACCAGCCTCATTGTTATGCAAGTTGAAGTGAGAGTTCTATATTTGTTTTTGATGAAAGAAGCTATCAGACTTACCCATTTAACGCAGCTAGAGTCCACTGATTCACCCATAAGTTTACTCGAATTAGCCACCGCGTCTGACCATAACTAAGTATTCGTCGGCATAAACATCTTATTATTGTTAAGCGATTGCGGTGACAATGTTCCTTATTCAAAAGATGTAGCGGATCGTGTGCATTTGATCATACCAAATGCCAGGTTGTTATAAGAGTTTGATAGTGTTTTGTATTGAGTAGCCGCATAAAAGTCCTGAAGAACTGACCATAAAGCCGATCGAATGCGTGTCTACTAAACAACACATTACATTTGCTTTTGCACCTGACAATCTGTTAGGTTCAGAGGAAATCAATGAAAAAATCCAAATACGTAATTGGACATTTTTAAAGAATTTATCTTTTGAAGACGGTTAGGAATACAGTCAGTCAAAACCTGAATCCTGAAGTGCCTGAAATATTATACGATTATGCTGCACGACTCCTTATATTACAAACCGATTTAAGTTATATTTTTAAAACGAAAACACACTTCAGAATTTTAATCAAGATTTCCTTAGATAGCGCATAAAATGTACTTAAATATCCTTTGTCACTCGAAAAAATTCAGAATTTCGATTGATATTTCATGAGATGGCCTATCTACTGTAGATAAAAGCAGCTTCGTAGACTGATCGACATAATGCCATCATTTGAGGCCATCGTCAGCTTATATATGAGAGTTTTTACAGGCGCCTTCCTACGACGCGGCTTTAAGATGAGTGAGCCCAGTGGGTCAAGAAGAACGAATTACTGCACCTCACTGATGTTTAATAAAATATAATAACGCTAAAACCCCTCACATCCCCCTTGGAAAATTAAGCTTGCACAATTCCACGTTTTAGTCTTCGAAACCGTTATCCCTTGTTCCCACTGTCTTTCCATCCAACGAGTCTGTTTGATAATGGAGGATTTTCACAAGTATAGTGAACTGGTTCCATGACAAAACAAGCCAGATATTCAGAGTAGGAGTATGCCTAACCGCTTCGGATAGAAAGCTGTCCATTTGAATATCTCTAATTTGCGTGTGCCAATCTGCCTTAGAACATCAATGCCTATTGCTTACTGCAAAACAGCACACTTCGCAACAGTGCACGTTGCCGCATATGCTGATGGTTTCAGTTGGCCAGATCACCGTGACTCCTTGTTATCCTATGTGGAGGCGAGATAAAACATAGTCAAAAGCGTCATCACTGTGGTTTCACATACTCATTTGGGTCACAACAGGCTTAAAACTATCACTGCCATGTGACTGGCAGATAATAAGCACTGCGCGTGAAATATCGGAGATAACGAATTGAAAGCAAAACATTACCCGGCCGAGATCAATGAGAGTAGCAGTGGACTTTTGAAGCCGAAGAAGCCACCGTAGCCAGAAGTGCGAGCAAGTCTTCTCTTTGCCTCTTCAGTATCTGTTAAAGGACAGGTTGACAGTCGACAAAAATACATTCATAACTACTTTGGTCTAATGAACAAATGTCCCACCGGAAAAGACGATTGAATAGATCGTCAAAGTCAATGCCATCGGTTATGTGTCGAGAGACCTGTGCACTAATGCTTTCCTGCACGGGTTCTCAAGATTATGCATAAGTTATGTTTGATTCGCCGCTGCCCTCTATAACTGTTGCATGTTTCGTTGCCGTTTTAATCTCAAAAGATGGTCTTTAGTAAGAGTTCGAAAGCTCATGCCATGACATGATTCCAGCTAATGAAAAGTCTTCTTCTGATTCTCTAACCTCCTACTTAAATAAAAGGAAAACTTTGACCAATCGAACCTCCTACTGTTACATGAATCAGTGCACCGATGAGCGAGCCAAGTCCTAGGAGTTAGAAAGGACAATCTTTCGGAAACAACCACAATTTATATACAGTTGATCGCATAAAGTTACCATTAGGCATAAAAAGTGAAACTTGGACCGCCTTCCATTGTCCTTCAATATAACGTCTCCTTCAAGCTGGCCAACTTAATGAATTGACTTAAAGATCTCATAATTATATATTGAGACAATGATCTTTAACACGAGCAAAATAAAGCCTCTTCGCGATAGTTCGACAGTTGTATCCATCGATGTCCCAAGTGTGCCCCGTAGCAAGGTAGCGGAGGGAAGGTGACTTGTGCATGAGTTAGATTATAGTGAGAGTAGACTGACGGTGCAACTACCGTACGTTCTCCTCCTCCTCCATCTTCATCTGGGCCCGGTGTCATGACCAAGTCAGGAAAACTGGAGGCGGAAGAGTGTGCGCGTGGCTGGCGTGGTCAGAAACGTCCCTAAGAGTGCCGCCACACCTGGCTCGGGTCCCAGAGCGTGGGAATGCCCTAAAAGTCACATTAAAAAGGAGCCATTGCAGCCTGACTCTCAGTCCGCCAGTCAGCCACTCCACATAACACAGCCCACATTGGGCTAACTGCGCGGTTTGGGTTACCCCATCAGTCGATACACTTCCATGTCACGGCTTTTAGAGAACCAGGATAACTTCAAGCACATCTTTCCGAAAATTCTTACAGGATGACATTAACGAACAGAATTCGTCTAATCAGATACTGTCAGGCAACCACAGGTTTTGATTGAAGTCTCTGTTGTCATCTTCACCAGAGCAATATCAAGAGACACACCATTTCCAATTCGAAAATTTTTACTCAGTTGAAAGGCAAGAATGCCATGATCCAGCCGCAAAGAGTCCACTTACTAACACTGATTTAATAACCCCAAGAATCTAGAACTTACAATTAGCAAATTGGTTTTGAGAATACTTAGCAGAATAATGCTCAGGCCGAGTTCTTCAGTGCACTCAGAAGACTTAGACTAACTGGCAAACGATTTTAGCATCTTGTTAATCGTGAACTATGGTTGACCCGGGAGGCTGGCCAGCCTTAGCTACTTCTGTGACGTAGTTCATTACCATCTTGCCTTCACTAGCTCTGCACGTTTGGGTGAAAGCTAAGTTTACCCTGAAGCCGCATCATGCTAATGAGCAATAACAGGAGGGATAGGAGAGCGCCTCCTTCTCCGTTCCTAAGGTCTAATGATGTGCTAGAGGCAGCTTTTCTTCCTCTTTTCAGGACAGGACATCCGCAATCGTACAGAAGCTCCAGGCCCTCGAACAGGCCCTTCAAAAGTCCGAGAAAAACGAGGCCCAAACTCAAAGAGAACGTGACCCTATGCATAAGGCGCGACCAGACCAGTCGCCCCGCGTAGAAGCCCTACAGGTAACGAGGACAGCCCTTTTTGTTTCTTCAATCTGGCTCTTGTTAAAAAGGCCTTAACACTCTGCTAGGAGTTTTTTTATCATCAAAAGTACACTAATTGTCATCATATACCCCCTCTCGCTTTCGGCCTTTTCTACCAGGCGGACAGATCTAGGAAACAGTACGAAGATTTATATGGGGCGGCTGTGGAAGCCCTTGAACTTGGAAAGCATATTCTCAAGGACGTGGACGAGATGGCATTTAACAGCCTGTTTACGACTGGCCACCGGGGGGTTCATGCACTGCCGTCAATAATCTTCTGCCTCTATTCTGCTATTCGAGTAAGTTGTCAATCAGTTTCTTGCCTGCTTAATCAGCGTTTTCAGTGTTTCTTAAGTTGATCTTCCTTCTTGTTTTAGAAGATATCCTCTTCTGTTTTCCTTTAGCTTCCCCTAACAAATATTTCCTTTCCCAGGCTTCCCTTTGTCACCTCCGATTAAAACTGAGTTTTGTCCATCTCTGGTCTTGTTACTTTCACGTTTTAGTGGTGTTCCGTTTCTTAAACAAACCCTGTTGCCTGACCCCGGCATAGTGTTCTTCCACAGCCTTCCTTTCGGAAACTGGCCGAAGTAGGCAGATATTATACTCTGCATCTAATTAGAAGAAAAAGAGCACCAAGCGTCAAAAGGCGTTGGCGGTTTAGCATCTGCTTCCATCCATGCATTATTTGATATTGTGTCAGCGGTCCTCCTCAATAGTGTACATAATAGCATTGGATTCTCACAAGGGCTATGCAGCAAATAAGTGCCGGCCACGCTTAATATTCTACGTTTGAAACTATTCTTTAATTTTGCTCAGTTTACTGAACATGATCCCACTGAACTACGAGGGAATGTCTTAACCACTTTCCCTCTAATAAAAACAACTAGTCGTAAGTTAAACGAAAAAAAGAACCGCGAAATTCCTGTTCGACATTTCATCTATGATCCCCCGAGTCTGACGAGGACGTCTTTTCAGTAAATTAGCTACAAAATACCCAGTGCGTCTAAAGTGGCGGAAAGAGAGAGGGAAGCGGCCTTAATAAAAGTCTGACGGCAAACTAAATTGCTTCTAGGGTCTGATGATGTAATAATTGTTGCATTCGAAACGGCTGCAACTGGAAACCCGTATAAAAAAGAAACCATGGCGGTACTATAAACTGAGGGATGTGACTTGCTACCTGGGACAATCTAATTTACCGTCTGGCCCAAACATGCAACCTTAAATAGGTGTGCCTGAGTAGATGCACGGCTACGATCATCTTCGAGAAACCATTCTACCTAAAGCAGCTGCAGGTAATCGCTGTACGATGAGCCAGGTGCCAATTTTGTTGCTGAGCCATGGTCGACGCCTTTCGATTAATGTTATCCAAGGTTATTGCACTGAGAGGAGAAATCTTCCTATTACAAACAAGGACAACAACAAAAAATATTCCCGGTCGTCTCTAATGCCATCTACAGGTTCGTCGATCTGAAATGTCCGACTCAGAAGCTGGGCAGATGCGGGAATAGAAACTCCCAACTTAATACGGGTGCCCTTGACCTGAAGTCCAGGAGGGGTTCATATCCCCATTATCTCAGCTTAACATTGCCGTCCGCCGTAACCAAAACCTTAACCCTAAACCCACATTTATCCTTGATTCTAAATTAATCCTCATCTCAGCCATAATCTAACTCCAGAACTTAACTATAATCTACGCCTAAAAGACGAGATTGGCGGTGAGGCGCATTCAATTGAGGTCAGTAGAAGAGTAAGCAGCACGCTCTGACGATGGGAATGAGAATGTTTTCGAAACGTCAGCCTAATTACAACTTGTTCTCAGTGATTGCCCCCTCTTCATCTTCCTATTCCGGCGATTATGAAAGCGAACTTACATCTGGACCCCGAATATTTGCGCTTATTAGCATATATTCAACTGAGGAATTGGAGCGAAGTACTCATTTTATTTCTGCTTTTAGACCCTGAGATCGGAATTGGCTTCTAAAACGGCAAAATATCAGCAGTCAGCCGAAGTTATAAAAAACATCAAGGAGGAAATACTGTCAGACAAATCGAAAATGGCGTCCGATTTCGATAAGAGGTAGCTTGAGAACTTACCTAACATCCTCTTTTTGCATTTTTACTTTGCTTCGGTGGACATCGCTTTTATCGTATGCGGTTTTGCTAATCAAAAAACCACAAATACAATCTAGCATACATAGGTTTTGCATTCACATACGCACACCTTTCGCTAACTCCGTGATGGGGCATGGGCAAAAATATCTACGAAGCAACTGCCTTAGAAAGTATTCTGTCTTCCATTCACCTCCCACTCCACGAATTTCCCAAATCAGCAGTAGTCCACAATGTCCAGATAACATGTGTATGCTCTAAAAGGGCCTGCGTTTGCTCTCTTTCTATTTGCACCGAGAGTTCCGCAAGGCTCTTTATAGTGTTCGAAATTATTTCGACGTCTTTTAACCTATTTACACGGTACCATAGAAACTACTGCACTATTTTCAGCTCCTGAAAAGTATGAATTAGAAAGTACATGACGTAAATCCCACATGTCGGCTGGTCACCAAGCAAACTAGTATTTAGAACCTGGGCGAAATCCGAGCTTTGGCACGCACAGAACAGACTTTGTTTGTTTTAAAAGTCCCGAAGGACCCATGTTAACCGATCTGTCAGGGTTACAGAATAGCCTGCGGGTTCAAACCTTGGATCCGCCCAACTTGGACTGACGTAAGGAGCTGGAACCGACAGTTTCCGTCTTCGAATCTGGTCCCTGACCTGCAATGACTGACTGTGAAGTAGTTCATACTTTGTCATATCTAAACTCGACAGGGAAAAACGTATCTACCTTTTGTATTGATAGCCATTTAATCTAACGATATGCATATTTGCGCTCATTCAGATTCAAGGAAGAGAAATCCAGGATGCATTCTGAGCTAGCTGCCGCCATCCAGCGTGCTGAACTGGCTACTCAGGAAGCTCGAACCATCAGCGAACGAGCAAATAAGGCTCGGGAAAGTCTTCAGCAGGAGCTGGTTGAGAAGAATAGGACGATTTCTGAGCTAAAGAGAGCCTCTGCGGACGAAAACACGAAGTTAAACGTACGCTTATTGCTTAACTTGGCGATGGTTATGAGTATCTCTTGCGAATAAAAGTCAACAGCATATTGTTTCAGGATGACATTTCCTCTGACTAAAAACTGCTGTTACGCGATTGCATCTTTAATATCTACCGCTAAGACGTCTTGGCTGGATGTGATATACATGACTTTTGGGTAATAAACAGCCTATGTTCTATGGCGTCAGGTCACTAAACTTGATTACTCATACAGTTTATATTAGAGCATAGCTAAGTGATATGAATGTTCTGGATACCGTCTCAATAGCGGACTGATTATACGCAGCTTGGCTGTCTTCAATGTGCGTTTCACCACGAAGCGGCAGGCCACATACTCTGCGATATCGTGGAGTATAATCCTGTTTCTGAGAGCTAGGCAATTGAACCTGGGAACCATGATTGAAATTCCTAAACCGGACATGCGTCCAGGAACCATCTACAAGCCAGGTGGCTCTGTGCCAAATTCCACATAAACTAGGATTAGGATTACGGTTAGGGTAAAATATGGGCTAGATGAGGCGACGATCACACGTCATCGTAGATAAAAGAAACCTGGGTTTTTAGCGACTGCTCAGTCAACCGTCAC